CTGTGCCCCCCAGACTGAGACCCAGGGAACTCATTTCCTCCGTGCCCCTGTCTGATGCCCGCGTTGTTCCTCGTTAGCGTACGTTAATTAACACTCACCATGTGCTTCTTCCTCCCCTTCCAGGAACGGTGAAGTGCCAGTCCTCCTGCGCTGCTGCTGCTCCCCCAGCCCGCCCGTTGGCTGCCCTCTCTGCCCCATGGAGCCAGCGCTGGCAGAAGACCCTCCTCGAGGCACCCGGCTGAGCCCGGAACACGAGCACTAGCGGGACGTGGGCGGTGGTGCCGTGTCCCACCCGAGGAGGGACGATGGCTCAGGGCGTGGGGAGCATCAACAGCGATGACAAGGATTGGGAGTGGAGCACCGACGCCGGGGAGCGGGCCAGGCTCCTGCAGAGCCCCAGCGTGGAGACGGTGCCGAAGGGCGGGGAGAGCCAGGGCAACGGGCCGGGGGCCACGTCGGCTCTGGGAGCTGTCTTCATCGTGGTCAACGCCGCCCTTGGCGCCGGGCTGCTCAACTTCCCCGCTGCCTTCAGCATGGCCGGCGGCGGGGCACTGCAGATGGTGAGAGGGCGGTGAAGGGATGGTCCTGCCCTGGGAGAGGGGGTGTGAGGGGACTTGTGGAGCTCCAAAAGGGGCTCAGGGAGGACCTGGCACCTGGGAGGAAGCCTGGTTGGGTGAGGTGTACCAGGGACATTCTGTGTGTTCTGGGATGGCTGCTTGGGGTGGCTTTGGGGATGTCATCATGCTGTTGCCTCAGTGTCCCCTCCTTTGTCTTTTCCCCCCAATCCAGTGTATGGTGATCTTCATCATTGGAGGCTTGGTCATCCTGGCGTACTGCTCGCAGGCCAGCAACGAGCGGACCTACCAGGAGGTGGTGTGGGCGGTCTGCGGGAAGGTGCCGGGCGTGCTCTGCGAGGTGGCCATCGCTGTCTACACCTTCGGCACCTGCATCGCTTTCCTCATCATCATCGGGGACCAGGAGGACAAGAGTAAGTGTGTCCCATGGGGGTTGCTGTCCCTCGGGCTGGAAGGGGACAACCTGACCATCCCCCATTGTCCCCACAGTCATTGCTGCTCTGGTGACGGAGCCCAAGGAAGCTGGGAGCAGCCACTGGTACACAGACCGCAAGTTCACCATCAGCATCACTGCCTTCCTCCTCATCCTGCCCCTCTCCATCCCCAAGGAGATTGGCTTCCAGAAATATGCCAGGTGGGTTCAGAAATACCCAAAGTTCCAGAAGTACCCAAGGTGGCCCACCAGCACCCACCTAGGCATGATCCCAGGGGACAGGGAGTAGAAACGCTGTGGTTCTTGCGCCACACCTGCCCGCTCACCCCTGAGGGGTTGAACATGTCCTCTGCCGCTTTCCTGTGCCTCAGTTTTCCCATCTGGGAAGCAGAGGAGCCGCTGAGCACTGTGCAGCCACAGTGTCCTGCTCCTTGTCATGTCCCTCCCTTCTGCTTGCTAATGGAAGCGAGGAGAGCTGCTTTCGACTGCGTTGTCCTCTGTCTTTGGAGTTGGCCACCCAACAGAAAGGAGAGCCAGTAAGGGTCCCCCGGCTGGGTGGTCTGCAGGCCAGCCCTGCTCCACCAAGTATCTTGGCATAACCTGGCTGCTGGAGCTGGACCAGAGCTACCGAAGAGGGTCCCTTCTTTAACACTTGCCTCCTTCTGCCCAAACCCCAGCCCAGCCCCTTGCTGGCAGGCGTGTGCAGTGAGACTGTGTTGGCATCTCCTCTGGGGACAGTGGGTGACAGTGCCATGCACATTCCCACAGGAAGGGAGAGCAGGGGTGGGGTGGTCCTGGTTTGCTGGAGCGTGGCCAGAGAAGGGCAACAAGGAGGGGAAAGTGTCTAGAGCCCAAGTGTGGTGAGGAGCAGCTGAGGGAGCTGGGGGTGCTGAGCCTGGAGCCAAGGAGGCTCAGGGGAGAACCTCTGGCTCTGCACAGATCCCTGACAGGGGGATGGAGCCAGGTGGGGGGCAGGCTCTTCTCCCAAGGAACCAGCGGAAGGACAAGAGGAGCTGGCCTCAAGCTGCCCCAGGGGAGGTTGAGGTTGGCCCTGAGGAACAATTTCTTCCCTCCAAGGTTTGTCCTGGGCTGTGCCAGGCTGCCCAGGGCATTAGTGGAATCCCCATCCCTGGAGGGGTTTCCAAGCTGTGGAGATGTGGTGCTGAGGGACATGGGTCAGTGGGGACCTGGCAGTGCTGGGTTAGTGGTTGGACTCGATCTGCGAGATCTCTTCCAACCAAAACGATTCTATGATTCTACAGTGGGGAGGAGTAGGCTGTGCAGGGAGGAAGATGGGGCCGGACAGGCTGGGAGGAGACCCTCCACAGAGCAGGGAGGCAGCACGGTGACAGTCTCCTGTCCCCTCTTGCAGCTCCCTAAGCGTGATTGGCACCTGGTATGTCACAGCAGTCATTATCATAAAGTACATCTGGCCTGACAAGGAGCTGGTGCCTGTGGAGATCCCCACTAGGTGAGTGCAAGGGACACAGTGCTGGTGGTGGCCTTCACAGCTTTGCAGAGCCAGGTAGGGGTGTGGGAGCGAGGGTCTTGAAAGGCTGAGGTGAATCCCTTCCAAGTCCCATCCCTGGGCCTGGGGATGCTGCAGGTTGCTGTCAGAAGCTCCCAAGCAGCTACATCTTTGTATGTTTCAGAGGAGCAGGTGGTGAAGCAGAGGAAAAAGACCTCCTGGAGGTCCCCATGGCTCCATTTCAGGTTTTGAGGAGAGCTGGTTCGCTTTTAGCTCTGATACAGCTGGGCCCAGATCACCTGGCAACCAGGACTGTGGCTATTTTGGGATGATTCTGGATGTTTTCTTGGCCAGCACATCCCCTGTGGGTTGTCTTCTCCTTCGTGATGTGGGGACATTTCTGGACCCAGCACAGGCAGCGGGAAATTTAGGGCAGAGCAAAGTTGGGGCTATTTTTCAGCACCTTATTTTTTTACAGATGCTTTTTTTTTTCCTAAGCCCTCCTTTTTGGCTGCTTCTGCCTCGGTGGAAGGCCCTGGTCTGCAGGTTGTGCCAGGTCCTAGGAGGTGTCACCCTGGTGTGGGGGATGTGGTGACAGGAGGAGCTCATTGCTCAGCACCCCTGGGGCAGGGGGTGGGGGGTACAGGGAGGGGCCCTGGTCTGACTGGTGGGTGTTTCTCTCCTGCCAGCCCCTCCACCTGGACGGCTGTCTTCAATGCCGTGCCCACCATCTGCTTTGGGTTCCAGGTAAGGCCATGAGCCCAGCGCTCCGCTTCCCACCCTAGGTGTGGGACTGGCGTGGTGCTGGGGCGCTCCCTCGGGTGTTCAGCTAAAACCCTCCTCGCGTGCTCTCCGCACAGCTTTGCCAGGGGCCCAGTTTAACATCTCACCACCCCTGGATGGAGACAGAGCAATTTTACCCCAGCTGGGAAGTCCAGAGCAGCTTGTTCCCCCGACTTCTTCTCCAGCAACAAACTTGGGGGAGATGCCGAACGCGTGACAAACGCAGGGGTGTGACAATCGGGACCCTGTCTGGCTCCCCGTGTCCCCAGCGTGTCCCTGCTCTCTCTCTGTGTCCCTGGCAGTGCCACGTGAGCAGCGTGCCCGTCTTCAACAGCATGAAGCAGCCCGAGGTGAAGACCTGGGGGGCAGTGGTGACAGCAGCCATGGTGATCGCTCTCTTCGTCTACACGGGCACCGGTGAGTGAGGGGACGCCACTGCCTGCGTGTGGCATGGTCTTCAGAGGGGCTGTGACCTTCTGGAGGGCAGGGATCCCCTGGGCAGCAGAGCAGGAAGGGAGGGTAGTCCATCTAAACCCCCCCTGCGACGTGCCCTGTGGCGCATCCACCCACGCCTGGTCCCTTGAGCCTACGTGCAGGGGACCTGCCCACATCCCCTGCTGACTGCTCCCTTCCTGGCAGGCGTCTGCGGCTTCCTGACCTTTGGGGCCGGCGTGGAGCAGGACGTCTTGCTGTCCTACCCCTCCAACGACATCCCCGTCGCCCTCGCCCGGGCCTTCATCATCCTCTGCGTGCTGACATCCTACCCCATCCTGCACTTCTGCGGCCGGTGAGCGCTGGGAGGAGGCAGGGGAAGGGGTTGGGGGCAGGGGGGCAGCACCAGGAAACCCCCTGCCCTGGGTCTGTGCCCTCAGGGCTGTCCTAGAGGGTCTCTGGCTCCGCTACACCGGGGTGACGGTGGAGGAGGACGTGGTTCGGGAGCGGAGGAGGCGCCTGCTCCAGACCATCAGCTGGTTCCTCCTGACTCTCCTCCTGGCTCTCTTCATCCCTGACATTGGCAAAGTCATCTCTGTCATCGGGGGCTTGGCCGCCTGCTTCATCTTTGTCTTCCCAGGTAGGACACCCTGGGGTGCTCTGGGGCCAGTGGGGGTCTCTTCACCTTGTGTCTTGGAGAGGGGGAGAGCGGCATGGAGACACAGGATTTTCAGAAGAATTTCTTCCCTGAAAGACTGGTGGGGCGTTGGAACAGGCCCAGGGAGGTGTTGGAGTCCCCATCCCTGGAGGGGTCCAAAAACACGTGTGAATGTGGCACTTGAGGACATGGTTTAGTGGTCATGGTAGTGTTGGTTTGACGGTTGGACTTGATGATCTTAGAGGTCTTTTCCAAGCTTAGTGATTCTAGAATTTCATGACTCTGTGACTGGGAAGTCTTTTGAGAAGGAGAGAAGTGTGGTATGAGGTCGGTCAGCAGCCCAAGTATTTTGCCTGGACTCGCTGCTCTTTACTAGGGAGTGTGGCTCCCTGGCTTGTGAGGGATCTGCTCACTCCCCAAGGGATAGTCCTCACCTGGGTCTACTTTGCCTTTCAGGGCTGTGCCTGATTCAAGCCAAGCTCTCTGAGATCCAAGAAACCAGGGCAATCAGGTAACTGAAACATGCCTCTTTTCTCCCTCCTTCCCCTGGGGATATTGGGGTGACAGCCCCCTCTAAACACACTCTGTCCTCCTGCATCCACAGTTGGTGGGCCCAGGTCAGCTACGGGGTGTTCATGGTCACCCTGGGAGCCTTCATCTTTGGACAGACCACCGCCAACGCCATCTTCGTGGATCTCACAGCCTGACTCCTCCTCTGGGCTGGCCCTTGGGGCTGCTGCCGGGGGAGGGATGCAGATTTCCCCTAGGACCAAAGGGAGGCGGGGAGGAAACACATTGGGACGTTGGGAAGATCCAAGAGGAATGTTGTAATCTGGGGCTTGACTGAAAGAGCCCTGCGGTGGTTTGTGTCTCGTTGTCTTAACACACCAGGCAGTCGAGGTTCTCCTCCCAGCCCTGACTCCCTGGTGAAGCCAGAGCATCACTACAAGGGGACCTGTAGCCCAGGTCAAGCCCTTCGTGCCCCCCCCAAGGTGACATCGCTGAGGGGTCGTGGTTGGGGTTGGCCAAGTCATGCTGCTCTCACCCGGGTACCCCTGTGCTGCTGGAGCATCTCTCCGCAGCTTCAGCTCCTTCTTGTCCCCACCTTGGAGGCAGACAGCCTGTCTTGCATAAAGGGAAGGAGGAACCCTGTTGGTCAGGCTGGGCAACGTCCCCCTGGTCCTCTTCTGTGTCAGTGTTTGGTTTGAACTCCGCTTTCCCGTGGCTCATCTCGCCCCTCTCCTGCCCTGGCTCTGACCTCTCCCTCTGCCTGGGCTGTGCTTTCGGATACAAGGAGGGGCTATCGCTTTCAGCCTGACAGTTTTTGGGCTTTTTGGAGGATCAGGAAGACCCCAGGGTAGGGACAGCCTGTGCAATTGTTCTGGTTCCGTGTAAAAAGGGGTTCAGGGCAGGACCCACATGGAACAGAACTATGAACTCCCCTCCCCCCCACCCCGAGAGAGAGAGAGACTTTGAAAAAAAAAACGATTGGGAGTTAAATGAAAAAAAATGAAGTATATTGTTTAACAAGGAACAGAAAACGAAAAAGGGAGGTAAGAAAAAAAAATATACAAAGATTAGGGGAAATACAAAAGTAAACAAAATATACAAAACCCTCAGAAATAGTTCCAGGGTCCCACGGAGCGAAGCACGCACTCGACCCCGGAGCCACAGGGCAGGAGTGAAGTTAGCACCCACTTCCGGCCTCTTATCAG